ATTTGGGGGATTTTGGGTGAAATTTGGGGGATTTTGGGCGAAATTTGGGGGATTTTAGGTGGAAATTTGGGCTGGAATTCGGTGGATTCGCGATTTTGCGATTGGGAATTTTGGGATTTTGGGCTGGAATTTGGGGGATTTGGGATTGGGAATTTTGGGATTTTGGGTGGAATTTGGAAATTTGGGAATCTGGGATTGTGAATTTGGTCAAATTTGGGGGATTTTAGGCGAAATTTGGGGGCTTTTAGGTGGAATTTTGGGCGATTCAGGGCTGGAATTTGGCAGATTTTGGATTCCGGGATTGGGAATTTTGGGAATTTTTGGGCTGGAATTTGGGAATTCTGGAAATGGGAATTTTGGGGGTGTTTTTTGGGGGGATTTTTGTAGGAATTTTAGCAAAAATTCCAGGAATTTTTAGGTTTGAATTTGGTAATTTTGGAATTTTGGGATTGGGAATTTTGGGAGTGAGAAATTTGGGAATTTTGGAATTTTTTTTTTTTCTAATTTTTGCTCTGAAATCACATTTTTTTGGGGATTTTTGCTGGAATTTTTGTGGGAATTACAGGAATTTTGGGCCTGAAATTGGGAATTTGGGGAATTTTGGGATTGGGAGTTTTGGGAATGCGAAATTTGGGAATTTGGGAATTTTTTTCAGATTTTTGTGGGAATTTTTTCGCTGAAATTGCAAAATTTTGGGGATATTTGTGGGAATTTTTTCAGGAATTTCGGACCTGAAATTTGGGAATTTGGGAATTTCGGGATTGGGAATTTTGGGAATGGAAAATTTGGGAATTTTTGGAATTTTTTAAAAAAATTTTTGCTGGAATTTTTGTACTGAAATGGCGAATTTTTTTGAGATTTTTTGGGGGGAATTTTTGTGGGAATTTTGGGAATTTTAGGCCTGAAATTGGGAATTTTGTGAATTTTAGGAATTGGGAATTTTGAGAATGGAAAACTTGGGAATTGTGGGATTTTTTTCAGATTTTTGTGGGGATTTTTTCGCTGAAATTGCAAAATTTTGAGGATTTTGGTGGGAATTTTTTCAGGAATTTTGCACCTGAAATTTGGGAATTTGGGAATTTCGGGATTGGAAATTTTGGGAATGGAAAATTTGGGAATTTTTGGAATTTTTAAAAAAATTTTTGCTGGAATTTTTGTACTGAAATGGCGAATTTTTTTGAGATTTTTTTTGGGGAATTTTTGTGGGAATTTTGGGAATTTTAGGCCTGAAATTGGGAATTTTGGGAATTTTAGTAATTGGGGAATTTTAGGAATGAAAAATTTGGGAAATTTTTAAAAATTTTTTGCTGCAATTTTCCCGCCGAAATCGCGAATTTTTGGCGATTTTTGCCGGAATTTTGGGGATTTTTTTGACCGAAAATTGAGAATTTTTGGGGGATTTTAAATTCGGAATTTTTTCGGGAATTTTTTTTGGGGGGAATTTTTTCAGCTGGATTGTCCTTTGGCCATGGAAAGGATCCGGGAGGATCGACCAATCACAATCAAGGACGACAAAGGGAACCTGAACCGCTGCATCGCCGACATCGTCTCCGTAGGGGAAAAAAATTCGATTTTTTGGGGGAAATTTTGGGAATTTTTGGGAGTTCTGGGAGTGGTTGGGGGTTGGGGGGATGATAAGGATTTTTTGGGATTTTTTGGGGGATTTTTT